ATTTTCATCACATTTTATATTGAAATTATGAAACAAATTTAGCTTCATTTTTGTGTAAAATCAAATATTATTTGTATAACTAAACACATAAACAAAGCAGGTAATATATCAGAAGGTTCATATAAGACTGATTTCAAACCCATTTATTTCCGCTAGTGTAACTGTTCAGCATGCAACACTTAAATACCTTGATCCATCAAGATACCATAACGAAAAAATAAAACAACTAACGAAATACGTTGATCGTTATTTCGAAAGCCGTTAATCCATCGTAGAACTATGTCTGTCCCGTTATTAAAATGGAAGTGGAAGGAATGTAGACCAAAGAATAGAATTCATTGCTCTCTTCTCTGCAATGTGACAAGATAAATATTTCACAGATGTGAAGTCCATTTTGCTTCGTTCTTTCATAAATGAAAAGAGGGGTGGTGAATATCTATGAGATTCAATAGTAATAAACATCTAACTAATTCTTCAGGTTTGTGATTCTTGGTCCATGTTTACAAACATGGTTGAATTATTCATGGTTTAGGACAACCAATGCATTTAACTCCTTTAAACCGGATTCCACTGCTCCTTGCTCGTATTGTCTAAATGGAATCATTTATCGCTCCAAGGCATTTCAGCATCTGCAGTGGGAAATGCATTTCGCATCATTCTGCTTTCATTGGTATGCTCATCATCAGCGGCATTTCAAAAGCCGATGCTCTTTTTTTGCGTTTTCGTGAAACATTGGGAAGCTGGTACACAACACGGTCAAAACTAGGATTCTTGCATATTGCACCGCAGTCTCCCCTAGTTCATAGTAACCGAAGGGGTCATCTTTCGAAGTCATGCCTAGCTGAGTATCTGTAAAATTAAATTTTATTTAATTTTATTTACAGCGACACCTTATAACAATTATCAGTCAGCTATCAGATGCGTAAAGCCGAACTGCAGTTATCAAGTGTTAGGAAGCAGCACCATCTTAAAGCATGGCTATATGTCTCGTAAGCTCTGGCGTGCATACAACAGAGCTCCCTGATATCGTCCGCATTTTGCAAGTCAACGACTTGCCAAGAGTTTCTAGGTTGGTTACAACAAACACAATGAGGTCAATTCCTTGCTCAAAGAGAGTAGCAGTTTTAAAAAGAAAATGTTCTACCGCTATGAGACCCGAACCCGGTATCTAACGTACAAATTAAAACTAATGCTTCTTGATGGCGTAGAAGCTATTAACTGATTTTGCTGACTAGTCCAAAATCTTGCTCATTACCAGCAGCTTTTGAGATGTTTCGGCGCCTTGGCTTGTATGTTAATGCAAAATATCCTAAATTATGGATCGTTTGAATGCACTAAATGAATATATATCCCCTCCTACGCTATAAGGAACTATGACTGGTATAAATGTAACAGCGTGAGGTCCAGATGGGAGGAGCTGACCAC